ATATTTCCACAAAGGAAACTCCATGTATAAATGACTTCATTAGTGAACACTAGCAAATCCTTAAAATAACATACAAATTCTTTCAGAAAATAGAAAAAGAAGCACTTCCCAACCCATTTTATGAGGCATCATTAACTGGGGCATCAAAACTGAACACACATTACGAGAAATAAAACCTCAAGACTGAACTCTCTAATGCATGGACACAAAAACCTCTAAGAGAATAATTATTAACAAATAATTTCTGACAGTATATAAAATGATAATACAACATGATCAAGTCAGATTTATGGAAACCATACAGGACCGATTTAACATTACAAAATAAATCACTATGGTTCACCATTACTGACAAATAGAAAGAGAAATAACAGAATTACATAATCATCTCAATAAATGCCAAAAATGTTGATATAAACTCTCAGCAGAGAATATTCTATTAAAAGAACAATGGGTGGGACACCTGGATAGCTCAGTCGATTAAGCATCCAACTCTTTAAAAAATGTTTTTGTTTAATGTTTATTTTTGAGAGAGAGAGACAGAGAATGAGCAGGGAAGGGGTAGAGAGAAAGACCCAGAATTCAAAGGAGGTTCCTAGCTCCAAGCTGACAGCACAGAGTCCAAAACGGGGCTCGAACCCACAAGAAACCGTGAGATCATGACCTGAGCCTTAGTCGGATGCTTAACTGATTTATCCACTCAGGGGCCCCAACACCTGACTCTTGATTTCGGCTCAGGTCATGATCTCACAGTTCATGAGTTCAAGCCCTGCATTGGGCTCTGTGCTGACAGTGAGGAACCTGCTTGAGATTCTCTCTCTCTATCTCTCTCTCTCTCCCTCCCTCCCTCCCTCCCTCTGCACTTCCCCCACTTGCTATTTATCTCAAAATAAATAAATAATTAAGCTTAAAAACAGAAAACAAAAGAACAATAGATAAATAATTTTGGATACATTTTTACAGAAAGATACCACTCAGATATAATTATGTATATACATATGTATTTCTGAGTGGCATTTCACTATGTGTGTGTGTGTGTGTATACATCTATATATGACATATATATACATATGACAAACTACTGATACATGAGATAACATGGATGAATCTTAACAACATCATGTTGAGCTAATGAATTCAGACCAAAAGGAGCCCATGTTGTAAGATCCCATTCTATTATAGGCACAACTTAATCTATGCTGATGGAAATCAGACCAGTGGTTGCCTCAGAGTGGGGGTTCAGGTTAGATTTTCTTAAGAAGCGGTAGCTGAGAATTTTCTGGGTTGTTTCATATGTGTTCTGTCCTGATTAGGGAGGGGTTACATGCATATGCACATGTTAAGAAATAGTGCAGTGTTCCTTTAAGCTTTTGTATGTCATTGCATGTCCCTGTATTAGTTAGCTCAGGCTGCCGTAAGAGAATACCACAGACTATGTGGCTTAACCAACAGAACAGTTTTTTTTCCCTAACATTTCTGGAGGCTAGAAGTCCAAGATCAAGGCATCTTCTGAGTTGACTTATGGTGAGACTTCTCTTCCTGTTTGTAGAAAACTGTCTTCTCCATGTGTCCTCACACAGCCTTTGCTCTGTGAACATATATATAGAGAGAGCTCTGGGGTCTCTTCCTCTTCTCAAAGGCCACCAATGCTATTGGATTCGGACCCCATTCTTATGATCTCATTTAACCTTAATGACTTTCTTAAAGGGCTTATCTTCAAATGTGGCATATTGGAGATAAAAGCTTTAACATATGAATTTGGGACACTTGTCACAATCCAGTCCATAATAGTGACTTATAGACTTAAAAAGCAACTAAAAAAATAAGATTAGGAAAAGATATATTTCTATTCCTTGGGAATTTCTATTTCTAGGAATATAAAGACTTTATAATATTCAGGGTCACATTTTTATAAATGAGCATAGAAAAATAACCTATCTGAAGTATCAATCAAAGGAAGAAGATTGAATGCCTGAAATTCAACACAAGTTAGTTATTTGACTACACTGGCCTTACCAGCAATAATATTAGTTAGGGAAGGAGGCAGGTATGAGGTAACGTCCTTTTAAATAATGCTTTGATTTGGCTGGGTTACTGCAAAGCCACATTTACCACTATAAATAATAATTCTCATTAATCCATAGGTCCTTCTGACAGATTAGAGTGATTTTTCAAATTCTACATCAATCACCCACCTCCATGTGTCACACATTGAAAAATTACTATTTGATAAAATCGAACTCAATACTATAGAGTCAAAATTGCAGAGGAAATAAGCTCTTGAGGGCTGGGCAAATTTGTGAAGTTCAAAATATTAGTACTTATTTTTTCCCCCCATAGGGATAATTGTGTAGAGGTCCATGAGAAATACTTCCCAGGCCTCTACCATGAATATCTGCTGTGCTTCAACTGGAGAAGCAAGATCCTTTCTTCTGTTCTCACACTAAATGTATCTTGAGCATACCTTCTGTTTCTAAGCATTATGGCAGATGATGGAGGAAAGGGATGAATATATTCTTGGCCATGACAATCTTCACATGTAAACAAATCATGCCATGAGGTGTGTGGGACTCTGCCTCGGCCTGACAAGAAGAACAGATGTGTGAGTTCCTACTGTTCATGGAAACGGTAGTTTGCTTGGTGGGGATAGACTAAAGAATGGCAAGAGAATTCTAGGTGTGAGGAAGAACACAAAATACTGCAAGGCTTGGAAAGAGCCTGGCCCATATTCTAGAACTCAGCAGATCAGTAAGCCTCTTTGGCAGACAAGTGAAGGTAAGGGGAGGAAAAGTGGAGAGAAGACAGACTATGTTATTAGTGTTGAATATCATGCTAAGGAATTTGAGCTTTTTTTTTCTCCTTTAGACTGTAGAGAGCTCAAGGGAATTTTAAGCAGAATCCTGTAATGAGATTTTTCTCTCGGAAAGGCTGGGGTGTCACCTATGTGGAGGGTAGGCTGAAAAAGATCTAGCTATGAAATCATTGTCATTGTGCAGTTGGGTTATAAAGAGGCCAGCTCTAGAGTTGTTTGCAATTATTCCATTCATTGATTCAATACTTCACAGAATGCAGGGACCAGCTAATGAGATAGATGCAGAAGGTATATCAGAGAATGTGTTAATATCTCTGTCCTTCAAGAATTTATAATCCGGCAGAGGGAGGCAGACAATGATGGGCACTTATACATGTCACAGACTCCCTGGCATTTTTCATGGTTACTGCATCTTCAGTATCCTTAATGAGCAAAATAATCAAAATAATAATAACTTCTCACCTTTATTAAGCATTTTATAATTTCCAAATATGCATATCCTTACATGTATGTCAGCCTCACAAAAGCTTCTGTAAAGGAGGAAGACATCCTAGGAAGAAACTGGAATTTAGCCAGAGAAGATGACTTGCATGAAAGCCTAATAGTAGCCAGGAAAAGAGCTAAAGACAGTCTTGTAATTTCTAGTTTTGTCTTTATTCCAGGCCACTGCACATTTTCTCTTATTAAATGAGCTCTAGCATCTTTATTTTCTGTGAATCTTCAGATCCTGATTGTTTACCCAGCACTAGACTCATCTGACCTCTCCTTTCCCAAGGGTGTCCTGTGACCGCCAGCCTTCTGGTTGTTAAGCGGCTCCTGGTTGTGCTCAGTGTCCTCTGTGTCATCATGATTCTTGTTTATCTCACTAGTCTCTGACCCATAGCAGGTGTGCCCCAATCCTGGGGGCCCTCTTCTGTTTCTTTTGATGATCTTCCTGTGACAACTGCACTTGAACTAAATGAAGAGGACTATATAACAGATTGGAGGATTTTTTTCTCAGGATCAATATTCCATTTAAACTCTGAGCTTAGGTTCTTGGATTACACTTATGTCTTTAGTTTCCTTTTATTTTTTAAATGGGTTTCAAGTGCAATTGAATTATTTATAATCTTTATAAATTAATCTTTATAAATTATAATCTTTGTAAAAAAAGGGCCATGGACTTTATCATTGGTCCATGGATTACTCTAAATCTAAAGAAAAAATGTTTAAGTTTGTTTATTTGTTTATTTTGAGAGAAACAGAGACAGTGTGAATAAGGAAGGGGTGGAGAGAGACGGAGAGAGAGAATCCCAAGCAGCCTCCATACTGTCAGTGCAGTGCCTGACGTGGGGCTTGAACTCACAAAACTGGGAGATCATGACCTGAGCCAAAACCAAGGGGCAGACACTTAACCAACTAAGCCACCCAGGTGCCCCTCTTCTAAAATTTTATAAAAATAGTTACCTTGAAATAATGTTATAAGCCTCTACGAATCCACAAATCAATGCAAGACCTTCATAATAACTGTAAGGAATCTTCCCTTTCTTATTTTACTTCATGCAGAGTAACCACCATCCCAAAGTCCTTATGTATCACTTCTTTATTTTCCCATTTTATTTTTTATATATTCAAGAAATTACTTATTTTAAAATGAATTATTTTCAACTTTCTAATAAAAATTTATTTATGTTGTACATAATATTTTACAAGTGTGTTTCTCATTTAGACATATTGTTAAGGCTCACCTATATTGTTTTCACTGCTGTACTTCACTTATTTTTAGGGATATAATACCATTAACAAATTTACAACAATTTATTCATTTGTTACCCTGTCTATGGATACTGGGTTTTTTTCAGTTTTTGCAAATTTCAAAGATGCTATTGTGAATAATATCAGACATGTTTAAAATGTTCCCTTGATTCTGCATGGAGAACTAAAACTGCTATTTTGCATGGTATTTAAATGTACAAATTTAACATAATTTCCAACTATTTTTAAGTGATTGAAACAATTTATACATCCATCAGCAGTATATAGCCAATCCTGTTTTGTTTTGTTTTTTTTAACTTTCCAACAAGTGGTATTGTCAGACTTTTTAACTTCTGCTAATCAAATGAGTGCAAAATAACAGCATATTTTGAACTAACGGGATTGAATATCTCCTTGAATTCTATAAACCATGAATTTTCTGTTTTTTACAAACCTCTTTAAATTGTCCATATTTCTGTTGAGCTGTTGTGCTTTTCTCGTTAACTTGTACAGTTTCCTTGCGTATTTTTTGTTGCCTATACTAAAGATATCTTCTCTTGTAGCTGATTTGAAGGGGTCAGAATGGTATAGCATAACACACATGATTTTGGAGACAGGCTGAGCTGGTAAACTCTAGTGTTGTCAGTTAACTCATTGTGTGAACCAGCTAGCCTGTGAGAGCTGCCTATCACATACAAAGTATTCATGTCATAAACAAAGCCTTTGTTGTCATATGCAAAGGGGTCATGACATCATGCTGATAATGACAGCTAGGAACCAAAGCATAGAACTGAGCTCTTATTATATATCAGATACTGAAACCCTTGGGAGACAGAGATGGCACATCCTTGACCTCACAGTGAATACAGTATAGTGTGAGGAAGATGAATCAACAGTTATTATCGGGTATAACAGTAACTGATAAGCCTCGGTGCTTAGGCATTCTTAGATAGGCATGCAACCTAAAATGGACTTTGCCAAGAAAGGCTGGCATTCCAATCATTCATTTATTCAATCATATGTTCATTCATTCATCAAATATGTAATGAATATTATCAACTATAAACCAGGTTCTTTGCTAAGTACTATTGCTAGTGTTATAAATGGAATTAATTTGATTTAGTAAATGTTTTGCCTTGGGGAAGAGAGAAAATAAAGCGCCAAAGGACTCCAAGGTTTACAGCTACATCAACTGGATTTAGCAGGAGGATTGGCCCTGGCTGGGCTTCGTTTTCATCTCCTTTCATTCAGAGAAACTATCCCTGGTAAGTTGTCTGCGCTTTAATAAAATTACTCTGGCAGATTTTTATTCTCAAGTTTCCACTCTCTTCCTGAAATGGGATTGCATGTCCCATTGACTGTCACATGACTTTCCCCATGACAGGAGTATACATCCATGGCTTTCTGACATGTACTTATCCATGTGACATGCTTTGATCAATGAGATGTTAGTGGACTTGATGCTCTGCACGTCTGAGTAGCCATTTTAGATGCCTTCTGCATTTTTTCGCTCAGTCCTCTTTGTTTTTCCATCCACAGTCCAGATAGGGAATTTCCTGTGATCTGGGGCACAGAAGGAGCAGATACATGGAGAAGAGCTGAGCAGAATGGTTGCCAACCTACAGTCAATTGGCAGAAGACCCTGAAGCCCTGATGTGCCCCTGCTTCTTCTTCATTGCAGCTCAAATGCCACCTCCTCCAGAAAGTCTTTGCCACATTTCCTTGTATCTCTCTACTCTCCCATCTGACTGTGTTCTCCTTAAAGTCAGGAACCCATCACTTTCATTTTCCTACCATTGTCCACCATCAGCATGATGTTTGTTATGGGGGAAGTACTCCATGAAATGTTGCTAACAAATGGATGGATGGGTGGATGAGAGGCAGGGGTGCCTGGAGGACAAGTCTTGGATTTTCATGGACAAAGCTCCAGTGTTGTTTTTATATATATATATAATTCTAAGTATTGAGTTTCATAAATGACTCAGTGATCTACAGGATAAAAGTAAATGGAGACTGGGCTGACATGGGAAATATAAATATTTACACAACAGAGTTAGTTCTAAAAAAATGTACTCCAAAGCGTTTTGTCATAACAAGCACATGGTGGCTTGATGGTTTCCTATATTTTTATTTTATGATCATTAATTTGGTCAGTCAACAAATACTCCTCAAGTGACTCATGTACTGTAACCCAAGTTCCTCTTAGAGCTGAGCTAACCAATTACCTGAAAGGAAGAATGTCTGATCTTGTTTAAAATTAATGACCCATGACTGGCAAATCAATGATTTTCAGGGGACAGGGACTTCCTGGAAACAAAATAAGTTCTTGATTGTCTGGAAGGTCCTGGTTTTTATCCTTTTAGGTTCAGCATTGACAAAAGAGAACAATTCCTGCACTGGGAAGGATCAGAACTTTTCTAGAGTGTTTGGACATGTGTGTGGGTGTGTATGTGTGTGCAGCTGTGTGTGTTTGTGGCTGAGAAGGGCATGTGTGAGTGTGTCTGTGTGTGTGAGGGAGAGAGATTCCGCCTTGAAGAGTAAAAGTACACTTCACCAGTATACTATGGACCAGTGATATCTGAGGAGTTTTGGCAAAGATATTTGAAGGTGGCAAAATATTTTAAAATTTATTATTTTATGCTGCCACCTCTTAATCCTTTTTAGAAAACGTAACTGAAATAAATATAACTGACACAGATTGAGGAATTTCAGTGTGACTGCCTCTGATCAAAGTGCTTTATAGATTTTAAATTTGGTTAATCCTCCTATCAACCGGATAGTGTAAACTCTATTAGTATCTGTTAATATTATCTTGTCAATATTACAATCAATTCATGCCATCAGCATTAAAGAGGTAAGGAAATTGAACCATTGGGTATTTTAGTAACCTGTGTATGGCCACACACACCTGGAGTTAGGATTTGAAACTAGGCAGTTTGGCTCCAGAGCCAAACCCTTACTTACTCCAAGATACTGATGCTGTCTCATCCATTATCATCCAACCAATAAGTGGAAAATAGAATTTGAATTTCTCAGTCAAAATCAAGCATTTTAATCATTCTTGTTTTTTTCTTAATTTTTTTTTCTTTATTTCTGAGAGAAAGAGAGAGAGAGAGAGCAGGGGAGGGTCAGAGAGAGAGAAACAGAGACAGAATCTGAGGCAGGCTTCAGGCTCTGAGCTAGCTGTCAGTATAGAGCCCGAGCCCAAGACGGGGCTCGAACCCATGAACCATGAGATCATGACCTGAGCCGAAGTCGGATGCTTAACCAACTGAGCCACCCAGGCACCCCAATCATTCTTGTTTTTAAGGCTCCCATCACTGGCAGCAACTGTAGTTTACAAAAGTGCATTTAGCAGTATTTCTTTATTTGCAGCCCAGCTGCTGGGTCAAACAAGTAAAATTACTGTCCTCCACTTTGCAGGTGGAAAACTGGGGCTCAGGCTCAGATCGTTCAAGAGATTCACTCACGGTCACACCAACAGTTAACAACAGACCTGAGGTTGGAAACCAAGACACGAGACTCCTAAGCTGGTATGCCATCTATGGGTCATGAGTTCATGCTATTCCTAGTGAGCTCTATCTATGGACATGGTGTCATTTCTAACCTCAACCTAATAAAATGGTAAATTAGATAAACCAAGGTTGACCCAGAGTTCCTCTACAAACAAGCCATGATCACGGCCCCAGTTACAGTGTTGGGTACAGACAGCTAGAAAATGGGCAAGATTTGGGGAAGGCAATGTTTGGGGATATGCAGGTGAGAATGGCACCTGAAGCCCATATGGGCCAATATGTTGGTATACCCAAGCAAATGGAAACAATGGAGTGTTCGCAGTGCTGGAAACCAGGGAGATGAAAGCCCACAGAGGGAAATGTGCAGTCCCTGTTGGAATTAAGTGAGAAAGACACTGATAGGTGCCATTTAATGAAAAACGCTGTCTCAGCCTCATGCTTGTTAACTCCTTCATAGTTAGCTTCACTTCTGTGTCTGGGTAAATATAGCCCTCCTTTGCACTGAGATCCCAGACTGATCCATTTCACATGCAAATTATACACAGTCGACTTTCACAGTGCTGAGCTATGCTATTGCCGAGTTATCTCAAGTTTAAGGCCTATTATATAGCCTTGCTGAAGTGGCACAGACAATTTAGGGGCTAACTTCAATCGCTGAGGAGTTCAGTTCCTTTTCTTTTCAGTCAGTTTTCGCTCACATGATTAGTCACCAGGCCATTCCAACTACAAAATCCAAAGCTGGAGCTGCTGGTTGCCTGACATTTTCTATAGCCCACCCACACACATCCCCCACCCCTTCCCTGCAAAAGTAATAGAATTACTATCACTGTTTTTATTTTAGGGAGGAAGATACCAAGGCTGAGAGAATTTTAGATACTTGCCTGAGGTCACACAGTGAAGGTGTAGCCCACTCAGATGAGAGTGCAGGAATTTGAGGCTTTCACTTCTGTCAGATGTTGGGTCTTGATAATAAAGATGTAGACCATTCTGCCAACTGGTAGTTAAAACCCAGAATCTACAAGGGTCTGAAGTAGTTTGGAGTCTACGTTCGCATGCTTATGTTTATCAAAGCCAGCTCTCTTAATGCCATCCCCTCCTAGTAAAATTAAGCTGACTCTCCCTAACAAGATTTGCTCTCAGGCCTTTGCCTATTCAAGCAAGGTCGTCTCCTACCCTTTCCCGTATGCATTGGACCTTATGTCACATGGAATGACTTGGAATTCCAAGCCACGACCATGTTCTCTCCTGCCTCTGCCTTTACTGTTCCTCCCGCCTTCTCTGTGATCCTTACATCCTATGCCTGGTGAAAATCTTGTTTGTAATTATTCAGATTCTATGTCAACTAATCGAATATGTCCTTTTGATTCTTGCCGTCCAGGTGTAACGCTATGCTCTTGTGGTCTAGATTGGGTGGACAGTTGACCCAGGCTGTCGGGAACTGAGGAATTTCCCAGGTTTTGAGATTTTCAGTGCTAAAAATGGGCTGCTCTTGGGCAAATAGTTCCTCATCTAAGATTGAGAGGAAGGAGTTGACTCCACGGTAACAACTTGTCATCCTCAAGCATTTAAATATGGCCTCCTCTGGGTTTCTAGGTTCTTACCTTCACACTTACCTCATTTCTCTAATTGTTTGCTTATAAAATTATGTCCTTGAAAATTGTCCATCTCCCCAAAAGACTGTGAAACCTTGTTGAGGAGGGTGGAAGTTATGCAATATTTTTTACTCATCTTGGCTCCTGGCTCTGAGCCCAGCACATAGTGAGTATCCTTTAAATGCTTACAAATGATTTTGTAGGAGAGACTGTACATTCCCTCCAGGGACTCGGGAATTAGGCAGTGGATGTTTTATTTTTTTAATTAATTAATTTGTTTAATGTTTATTAATGAGAGAGAGAGAGAGAGAATAAGCCGAAGAGGGGCAGAGAGGGAGACACAGAATCCGAAGCAGGCTCAAGGCTCTGAGCTGTCAGCACAGAGCCTGACATGGGCCTTGAACTCATGAGCTGTGAGATCATGACCTGAGCTTAACAGACTGAGCCACCCAGGAGCCCCAGAGAGTGGATGTTTTAATATGACAGGAGCATTCAGTACCCTATAACTATTGAAGGACTATTTCCTGAACTCTGATATGCTCCATTCTCTAAGGTCCTAGAAACTTCTTTTGGAAAGCAAATTGGGACAGAATCAGATTGGACAGTAATATGAAATAGATAATACCTAAAAAACACAAGAGGAAGGACTGTCAAGAGAGTAATCATAGTGAATGAAAGATAGAAGGTATGTGTGGAGGGGTTTGGAATAATGAATGGTCTAAGTAATGGATTTTTGAACTTCAAATACTTGACTACTACAGTAAGGATATAGTGATTCTTAGTAAAAGCATGGCTAAAACTAGCCACAAAAAAAAAAAAAAGTTGACACTCTGCTCACATTTTACAGGCAAATTTCAGGAAAAAATCAAGATAAGAGTTGATTTCAAGCTAGCACAAACTGTCCCAGAGAACTGGTAAACAGGTAATCCCCCTAATTTATTTGATGAGGCTGAGATAACCTTGGTATCAATCAGGCATAGGCAGATGATAAATAGAAATTATGTGGCAATGTTAGTTATGAACGTAGATATATACATTTTAAACAAAATATTAGCACATTAATTCCAATAATTTGTGAATAAAATCCAGACTGACTTGAGTGTATCCCAGGAATGTTGGTATGGCTTAATATTAACACATAGTTTAAAGTAATACACTTCATTAATTCATGAAAGGAGATGCACCATAAAATTGCTTCAATAGATTCAGGAAAACATTTGCTAAATTATTTAATTTTTAATAACTTATAGGAAATGTAAAACTGTGAGAAAAAAATATTTATAGGTAAGAATTTTAATAATCCTGGATCTGAGAAAGAGACTATTTCACACATGACACAGAAATACAGATTATTATATAACAAAGACATCACAGAAAAGTCAAAAGAAAGGTCATAAATTGGATGTACAATACATATAGGCAGGAAAGGATTAGGGTTCACAACTTATACCAATTCTGGGCTTTATCTCTGCTCGGCACTAGTATGTGAATATAAACATTTGCTATTCTGCCCCCTCACCCCCACCAAAGATTGTGAGCAACATGTTATGAACTGAGTCTGGATCATTTCTGCCTCCACAGCACCTAGCACAGTACCTGGCATATATTGATGTACGGCCAATGTTTATGGAATGATTAGAAGGCACAAGGTACTGTACTGAATCCCTTTCAGTGGTTTACTAATTGCTAACTATCCACATTACTCCAGGCTTTAGGTTGAAACAAACAATAAGCTATTTCAGTCAGTTCAAGCTGCTATCATAGACTTGGTGGGGAGGGGGGGGAGTGCTTAAATAACAAATATTTATGTCTCACAGTTCTGGAGACTAGAAAGCCCAAGATCAAAGCATGGGCAGATCCAGTACTCAGTGAGGATTCCCTTCTTGATCTGCAGGTGCTGGCCTTCCAGTTGTATCCTCATATGGCCAAAAGCAGAGAGGGAGGAGACAAGCACTCTGCTGTCTCTTCTTACAAGAGCGCTAATCCCAGGATGAGAACTATAGCCTCATAACCTAATTGTCTCTCAAAGGCTCCACTTCCTAATAACATCCCATTGGGGGTTAGGGTTTCAACATACGAGTTTTAGAGAAGCACAAACATGGAGTCCACAACCCAAGCAAACTAGAACTACTTTAAGTGGAAAAATATTTACTGAAAAGATAGAGAATGACTCATAGATTTCTAGGACGACTGGAGAACCAGACTCAGAAAATGGTGGGAAGGAAGGCAGGCTTCTTAGTTAGAGCCACAGTGCAAAGATAGCTAGAGAACTTGTCTAAGAAGACCCTGAGGGCAGTGGTACCTGCTGTCAGCATTGCATATAGGACCTCCACTGTCCTGAGAGCTACTCCTGGCAATGTGATGTTCTTGATCAGCCTGTTGCCCATCGGAATAAAAGTCTTCACTCTCATCACAGATCCTAGATACATACTTCTGGGCTGTTGGATAAGCTTGCAGAACTTCACCTTCATTTACCCGGGAGGTTGGAAAGCTGAATCTGGACCCCTATTAACCTGAGCTGATAGGCAGGGATTATGTAAACATAAGTAAAGAATTTAGATGCTGGGCAACCAACAAAATTCAAGATGTTCACTACATAGCCTACTACATAGTTCATCTTTTGACCACTGAGACTTTATTTTTCTTCTAGGTCTAAGGGTGTAATTGGGAGAAGAGAAAGAGGTTCTCAGACTCCACTTCAGAATCCAGCCTCAGCAGCAACAGGCTCAATGCCCAGAGGTTCTCAAGATGGATGGTAATTCCTCTGCAGAAAACATTGGGAAATGTGTCAAGACTTTTTTCAATCCTTTGGGTGAACTTGCTAGAATTTGACAGCAGGAGAAAGCTAAGTGAAAGAACTTACAGGGCACAGAACAAACATGTGGCAAAAAATTGTCTTTATTGCATGCCCATCCTGCCTTGAGGAACTGTTGGACCTCACCCGTGAGGGGGCATCTGTCAGTGCAGCTGTTGCTGCACTCAGCAAGGTGGCCCAGAGCCAGGCCAAGAGGGCCCTTGTGGGATGCCAGAGATATGCTTTATCTGCACTGGACAAGATGAAGGGAGATCTGAAAATATTCCCACTACGAGTCAGATGTGGATCTGGAATCTGGTCTTTTGCAGTTAAATTTCTCCTGGCTTAATTCAGGAAAATTAAGGCACCTTAATGGGGCCCTTAGAGGGTAGACTAGGCCTCAGCATTATAGACCTAAGACGGCCCAAGGCTCCCTAGTGTTTAACCAATCCCCCTGTGTTGGGGGAAGTCTTACCCTTAATTGAACTCATTAGCAACTGCATTTCCTGTTCTTTTTAATTGTATTTCCTGTGTGTGGGTTAACACAAAACTCTCTAGACATTGTGTAGCTAGGAAGATTTTATTTCATACAGTTCCTTTTCATGCTGGGCTGATATGTGCCCACAATAGTCATTGTGTATACAATTGTGGCCACTTCTAGTGACCATATTATTGGCTCTGAATAATATACACATCTATCTATCTATCTATCTATCTATCTATCTATCTAATCTTATTATATATGTATGTGTGTGTGTAAAACATAAATATAAAATTTCTTGAATATGTATGATCCTTATTCATAGCTTTTAAGGCTTTTCATGATATTGTTTATGGGATCGTAAAGTAACTAGAATTCGTAGTTATAACTTCCAGCATTCTTTTTCCCTTTAGATGTAATAAAAAAGTCATAACAATAATAACTAATGCTTGCATTGTGATGGTTTATGGAACATTTCCAACTCTTACACACCAATGAAGTAGGCATTACTAATCATTCCACTGCAGTTCATACAGTTCATATCACTTGGGCAAAGCAGTGCCATTTACACAGGTTGGAGCCAAGACATGAGGTCAGGTCCTGCGTCTTCCAAGCCTGTACTTGTCACAGCACGCCAGCTTCTTCCAATGAGTGTTGTTTTGAAAACCCACTATCTCCTTCAAACACAGAAAATCCAGTATCTCCTTCCTCTCCAAGGGAAAAGAACCCTCATGAATGTTTATTCTTTATTCTTTGACTATTTTGAAACTGGAAAAGAAAACGCAATAAAAGCACCATGTAGTTAGATTGGAAATATTGAGATTTCTCTCCTCCCTGTTTACACAGTCACTTGTAGAACAGGTGTCCAGTGTGAGATGAGAACATTGAAACTGAAACAGCATGAATAGGTACAAAACTGTCAAAGGGCAGCAGTGGACCCATTACTGTGTGTGGTAACCATTCTCCCATGTTTGATGATTTTCTGAGCTGTGCTGGTGATTTGAACAGCACTTAGGAGGAAGGGGCTGGAAGAAAACACAATAGCTCTGTTGACCTAACTTCCAGATAAAGGGATTTTCAGAATCCTTCAGGAAAGACTGTGGTAGGTAATGGGCATAAAATGAAATATTGTTCTGATGAAGGCCATACACAAGTTGTGGCTTTTCCAATCTAAAAAGCGTGTCTGGAATCTCTTAATGCTTAGATCTGGTCTAGTATACATCACCAATGGTTGACAATCTTAATGAGTTTATTATATATTTAAATGCTGGTTAAATACATGGTTTCTTTTTTATTTTGTAAATATATATATATTTATTTATTTTTACAAATAGTTTATTATCAAGTTGGTTTCCATATAACTCCCAGTGCTCATCCCCACAAGTGCCCTCCTCCATGCCCATCCCCCCCCCCCTCCCACCCCCATCAGTCCTCAGTTTGTTCTCAGCATTCAAGAGTCTCTCATGGTTTGCCTCTCTCCTTTTCCCCCACCATTTCCCCCCTTTCTATCCCCCCGGCCCTCCATTAAGTTCCTCCTAATCCTCCTATATGTGCAAACATATGATATTTGTCCTTCTCTGCCTCACTTATATACATGGTTTCTATGTGTAAAACATTAGTATATAGAAAAACTGAGATCATCCATATGAAGTAATTCATCATTGTTTAGGTCTTATGTTTATTGGTGTCAATATTTTTTAGATACCCAAGCAATTTTTATGCATTTGATCCTAAAAAAAATAATTGAAGAAATTTTATACATATAATATTATTTCATACATATATTATGTATGTAATAGCAGTTATATATTACTTCCTCAGTTCCCTATAATATTATATATATAATTTGTTATTATTATTATTACTCTCATTTAAGTATATCATTGGGCCTAGTAGGAGTTAATTGTCTGCCTAACATAACTCAGCTTGTCTGAAGCTGGGCTTCAACCCCGCTTCTTTGACTCCACATCTGAGATTTTCAGAATTATGGGTGTTGCCTGTTTTCAACATATCAAGATTTGACCACAATACAAGATAACCCATCCACAACCTTTCTTGTCAGTTTTCCTTTTCACCCTAAATACACTACTTCCAGGAATGCAGAGCCCTTCCCAGCCATCCCGTCCTGTGGCCTCGGTCATACTGTCCTGTGCCAGCGACTAACTCACTGTATTTCTAGCATTGGCCTGATTGTCCATCTGTGCGGCTGGATGATAGCGCTGTTATTCATTTTCAGAATATCCCTAAGTGTCATCACTTGTCTTCTCAAGTTTGGAGAAACCAAAACAACACAAAACAAAACAAAGAATGTTGCCTTCAGTATGACCTAAGATTCAATTCTCAGTTCCTTAATGGATGGTAATCATGAAATAAATCTTACTTTGAAAAGTTTCCTCATCTTTTAAAATACAGTTTTAGTCCAAATAAATCATAAATATCATTCCTGGGGAATATCAGAGAAAGGTATTAGGCATATAAATATTTTCAAAATACAAAGAGAGGGCTAAGTTGATTTTAGAATTTTCTCAATTACAGGATCTTCTCCCCTAATTTCTTTCTTTAAATATTTTTCTATTTATTTTTGAGACAGGGAGCATGAGCAGGGGAGGAGAGGCAGAGAGAGAAGGGGAGAGAATATCCAAAGTGGGCTTTGCATTGACAGCACAGAACCCAATGTGGGGCTCAAACTCATGAACATGGGATCATGATCTGAGCCTTAGACGCTCAACCAACTGAACCATCCAGGTGCCCTTCCCCTAATTTCTTTCTAATAAGTTATATCCTGTTAAGTATCAAAAAAAAAAAAAAAGCTAACTGAAGGCATATAGAGTAAGTAAACAGACATCAACAACCACAGAAACAAAAATAGTAAAATATTCCCCTTAACTAACTTGTCTCTAGGTCCCATTATAATAGTATGACTTTCACATTGCTTTTACATGTCATAATCACATTTTCTAATAGTAAACACTTTCCTATTTTATATGATGAATTTAAATGTGTTATAAAATAATTACATCACAGAGTTCTATAAAGAGACCTTGATTTCCAAGAGTGTTATTTCCTTTTTCTTTTTAATTTTTTTATAGTTCACTTATTTTTGAGACAGAGAGAGATAGAACATGAGCAGGGGGGAGGGGCAGAGAGAGAGGGAGACACAAAATCTGAAACTGGCTCCAGGCTCTGAGCTGCCAGCACAGAACCCGAGGCGGGGCTCGAACCCACGAACCGCGAATCATGATCTGAGCCAAAATCCAACGCTTAACCGACTGAGCCACCTAGGCGCCCCAAAGAGTGTTATCTCCTAAATGAGTCCCTGACGCATTGAACTAGATATGGAAGGTCTCCCATGGCTGTAGTGGTTTATAGTATGAAATCAGAGCTGTCCTAGCAAATCAGTCAGACATGATAATCCTCCTGTGCATAAATTGAAAGTGTCAAAGAATAAGGAGAGGGAAGATTTTCAGTATCACAAACCTCGGGAGGCGAGGAAGGGGCTCCTGAAGCCTGTCTGTACTTTTTTGCAAACGGAACGCCAAGGCACCTATGTTTCTGGGCATATGGTAAATGCTCATGAGAATGGGATGACACTCCACCTGCTGCTCAGGAGTGAGTTACTGAGTCTGTGTTCTGTGCCACACAATTTACAAAGCACCGCACGGATCCCGAGGAGCTTCTGTGGTCCTGTGTAGTGCGCCTGTGCTGCACACATCCCCTTAAAGGCTCTGCGATGTGAGTACCTGTTACTCCATCCTGTGCGTGTATGGCAGACAACACGGCGGGGAGCCGTCCGAGGGAAGTGGAGGAGAGGGAGAGGTCAGGATGATGAAAAAGGGTGGGGACTAGAAGCCGAGAAGCTGGATATAGACTCTTCTAGTAGTGAAGGTCTTATATGTAAGTGTCTAGACAGAACCAGTGGGAGTGGGTTTGAAAAGGTGGGAGCAGATCTGAATGAGTTTTAGATGATAAAGTAATATATTTTCTACCAGATAAAATATGGGGCAATTAATGGAAATGTGTACTTTAATATAATTTCATAAGTAAGAAAGAGGTATTGTAAAGGGGAGTTTATAGGAAAGCAAAGTTGGGTTTGAGACCCTTGATTGGATGTACCTGAGGGACCTACGTGCTAGAGCTATGTGAGCATAAGTGAGTCAGTCTCCCCTGGAGGGTGCTGGTTGGAAGTGTTAGGATCCCTCTTCTGCTCTCTTTCCAAGTCAGGATTTTCTCGAATCAAGCATTTTCCTGGCAAGGGTTATAAATTCTCCCGCTCCCACCCTAGACTGAGGTATGATGCTTGGAAATTAAACACGTTGTGAAATGGAATGCTTAAGAAGGATGGCCACGGTTGTATGTCCAGTCTGCTTAGGGCCATCCTGGTTTAAAGGGCTGTCCCAACGTAATTATTAACGTGCACCTTCTTTCTCTTTCACAAATGTCCTGAGTTGATCATCTTTGCCATTATCATTATTATCATCATCATTATCATTTTACTAACCCTGGTCTTACCTTACATGGTCTCTATTAGTTTAAGAGCATGTTCACAGGTATCATCTACCTTGATCCTTACAACAACCTTGTGGCAAGATGGGGGCAGAACTTGCCCCCATTTTCCAATAAAATGGGTTTATTTGGGGTATAACCAATGTGACCATCACATTGGATCTTTGGTGCAAAAGTAGGGCCTGAGTCTGTTTTCTGAGTGTATGAATAGTGAGTTTCTCCAAATATATCACATTGTTTCCCTAAGTTAATAATCTCATAACTTTTTGACTTTATGATTGATGGGGAAAAAATAAAAAAAAAAAAAATCCCCAAACCAATGGGAGATTACCTAGCGATACAGGGCAAATACTAACAGGAACATTTAAGAGGCCTGCCCTTAATTCACAAATCACATGTCTGTGCCCAGATGTTTCCTCTTGCTTACCCTGCCCTCTTCCTCTTTATTGGCCTAAAGGCTGAAGTCAGCAACCTTTCTTAACCCCTGGGTAGGGCAATAGGAATTTTTTTTTTTTTAATTCAAAGAGGTGTCAAAGTGAAAAGGAAATCCTATGACAGGGAACAAATTGTCTAACAAAAAAACAAAACTTTGAGTTGGCCCCGAACGACCTTACAAACACAAATCTGGTTTCTTGCCTACTTTGTGCAGCATAATGGCTACCATTTCTTTATTTAACTTTTGCACAATATGACAGGGTCACTGACAAGTCGGAAGGTATCTGGTACTCTCACCAGTTCTTCAGATTCTGAACTGCAAACCTTCTCCATGTGAACACCCATGTTCTCTGAGATGAAATTATGTTTCTTAATGGCACATTTATAGAGAGGTCTATCTTGCTTGCCCCACAGAAGTCTCTGGGTTTCATCTCATGTTGAATTGGGCAAATCCAAGATCAATCTCTATCTTCAAAAGGCCAAGAGCTATTTGACATTAAACGTAATATTTGCTCTTGTTGAGTCTCAGTTTCCCTGTCTGGGGCTTGGCAATCTTACTTTGTTTTGATTTTGCTGCCCACATTTTCTCTTTTGTCACTACTTAACTAGGTCATAAAACGTTAAAAAAAAAAAAAACGCATGTGGCAGGCTGGATTTGGATTTGGCCATCAGTTGTCTAACCTTTTCAGGGCAAAGTATTATCTGCTTCACAAGGTTGTTCTAAGAACCTCATTGATGAGATGTATGAAGTATTTGATGGAAGGTCTGATATTAAATATCTATTTCTTTGCTGAGGCATAGGAGCACATGTACCCCAATGTTCATAGCAG